AGTAGGAGCAAAGGGGACACCGAGAAGCCAGTCAGTGACAGCTCAACAGACTCTTAGGACTTGCAGGACATCTGACCTTCACAGAAGGACCCACACTATTGCTTACTGACAGTGGAGCAGGAACGGCGCCTTCTTTACACCAAATGTGCCTGTCTCTGGATCTCTAGAATGAGAATTGGGGAAGAAGGGAAGAATCTCAAACTTTATCTTCATTCTTGCCAAGCCAGTTCCTTCTTCTGAGAGCAAAGGGATAGCCAAAAGTTTAGGGAAGAGGAGCTGAGAGGACCTAAACATTCCCCCAAATAACTGACTGTCCCTAGCAAATACAAAAGTAAGTAAATATTTTCTAAAGCTGCAGTGGTCACCCGCCCTTTATCAATAGTTGGGGATTCTCTTAAGCTTTCTTTCAATAGCTTTTGGAAACACTAACCCTTAAAAGTGTGGTGTGTCCCCTTTTTAAGAATCAAGACACTCTTGCTTCACTGTCATAAACTATGTGTTTATTTAGGGTATTTTAACATTAAAGGATAGGAAATCTGCTTTCTTAGGTGCCTGAACATATTTTTTTTCCTCCTTATTTTAGATAGTTTTTATAAGGATCTTTTAAATTATCTTGTCTTACATTGTGCAAAATTTTAAAACCACCCTAAACTCCTTTCTGAAGCAGAAAGGCTATAAGCAAAAAATTATAAATTTTTAAAAAGTAGGTATCTAATCAATGAAGATCAAAAACATTCTATGCCTCAATTCTCTGTAAGAGTCTTTCCCTGAATACTTACTGGGCGCTTACTACATGCCTATTGCTGCACAAGACAATGGGCTTTCAGAGATGATGCTATCATTTCTGCCTCCCAGGAGAGGGAAATAAATAATATGTGTGAAAAGGACTAAACTATAGGTATTAAGAGGGAGTACAGGGAAAGGGCTCCTTACTAACTCCAGGGGTGGGGAATAGAAACACTAAAAAGGGAATGAAGGAAGAAAAATGGAAAATCCTAAGGAAAAGGAAAGCTGCTCAACCTTAAAATTTGCTGAAGTCCGGAGTGGCAAAGATCAAATTCATATAATGTTCTGTCTTTGTTAAAACACACACACACACACACACACACACACACACACACACCCTTGAATTTTTTTCTAAAAGTGGGAGGTCAGTATTTCCAAAACTGGAATTATAACCATTGTCTTTCTTATGCATTTTATGAAAGATAAGGTAGTTTTGAAATCTTTTCTTTTTCTAAATTCTAATAGAGGAAACCTTTAACTTTCCATTCTGGCAAATGGAAACAGTTATGTAGAGAAGTCATCTAGTCTTATAACTACTAGGCATTTAATGCTCTGTAGTGTTTTTAAAGCTATATATTTATGTCAGGAGTACTTTAACGTTTTCTGTGCTCTGGCAGCCTGGTGAAGCATATGGATTCCTTTCAATGTATAAAATATGTAAGATGTATAAATGTATACAATAAAGAACACAGGATAAAAAAGGAACTTAATTATTTAAAATAATTATCAAATATAGTTGCCAAAATATTAAACAAAAAAATCTGTGATTAGTAAAGAATGTTTCTTTATAAATAACAAATGTATTCACAGGCCTAAGTGTAGTGGCAGGTCCAATAATTACCATGATTCTTTACTAGTGATAACAGTAGTTGGTATATAGAGATATCTGTCACGACTGTATAAAAATACAAAGATCTCTGTGATTACCTTTAGTGACAAAGTCACTTGTGCTGCTGCTACTGCTGTAGTCTGTTGTCTTTGTTCATAACTGAGGAGAATGCCAAATTTCACTTACAGGCTAATAAAAATAGGTATTACTTTTATTACTCATCTTAGTTCATGGACCCCTCCTCTAACTTGAAAGGAACCCAGGCTAAGACTCCCTGATTTGAATGGCACCCTCTTTCTGTTTGCTACCTGTGGGCCTGATGAGATTAAACTGAGAGCTGATTGTGGCCTGGAGGCTCAAGTATTCTTCACTGGGCTGGGGAGAAAGTGAAGTGTCTGCTGGGAACCCACCCCTACTCACATGTAAGCCTTGTAGTTGTTGCCTATCTTCTGGACCCGGATGTCATACTTGGAGTCAATGAAAGGCTCTGCTGTGGCATAGGTCTGGGTGAGGGCCACCACGCTAGCAATGTCCTGGAAATCGTAGTGGTTTTCCACTTTGACCTAATGTTGGAGTAAGGCAGAGAGGGAAAGGAGACATACACATACACACACTGAGAGTCACAAAACCTGGGGACTCCAAACCCATCAAGATATTTCCCATCTAGATGCAAGCTCGGGTGCCATGTGTCTCTAGGAGACTTCTCCCCCGTTTCCCTTCCTAGGCTCAGGAGGCACACTTACTTCAAAAGACCCAAAGAGCCGTGCAGGTGGCCTGTACTACGCTTTTTGAAAAAGCCCTGTTTGGGTAAGACTCATGGCTTCAGAGGGGCCAAATCACCTTCTCCTTGCAAAGAAACCCTCAATAACAGAGGGGAAAGAATAGTCCATAATCAGACTCTCTGAAAATTGCCCTTCTTGGCCTCGATCCCAAAGCACATCAGGCCCCAGCCTTACCTTGCCCATGCCTGAATGAGCATGGCCGATCTTCACAACCACAGGGAATGTGGGCAGGGTCAGCTGAAAGCAGAGAAGAAGCAGAAGAATTGGTCAGAGAGTGTCTGTCTCTCTGTGGAATGTTACAAATATTTTTCTTGGGAACACCCTTGGAAGGCCCCTTGAAAGAACTAGTCTAATCTATGTGCTTTATAAATTAAAAATCTGAAGCTCATTAAGTGACAGTGACTTCCCTAAAGTTACAGCATGTTAGTAGCAGATCTATAGGAGAACTCTGTTCTCATACTTGGTACTCTCTACATCTTTAAAACTCATTGTTTCAACCTCCTTTGCATTAGACAACCCCTGGGTAGGACTGGACCTTAGCCAAAGAGAATTTGAAAAAACACATCTTTGAAAGGGTGAATTTCACTGTATGTAAATTGTACCCTAGTAAACTATAATTACAAAAGGAACATATCTTTGGAACCCTAATGTCCCTTTTGTCACAAACCTCTTAGTATCCTCCCCTCCCTCTCAAACATCTAGCTTTCGTATATTGAACCTGTCTTTTTCTCTCCCTTTCTCCATATTGCTCACCAATACCTCCAACTCAACCAACAAACAGCTTAGTATGCTAAGGCCTATTTCTGCCTAGCTTGGGGTTTGGAAGAGGGCAAACATAAAAATTTAACATCCTTGTAATTTGAAAGAGATTCTTAAAAGAGTAAATTCTGCCTTAAGGTAGCTGTATTTTAAAAGATGAATAATAAAAACTTAAAAGAACTACCCTCCAAAAACAGGAATGTAAGCTGTTATAAAATGGCAGTGAAAGAAGTAATATGGTACAATGGAAGGAACACTAGACTAGAAGTCAGGAGGCTTGCATTCTAGCCCTTTCTGACACTGACTTTCTACAAGTCACTTTACCTCACTGAGCTTCAGTCCATGTGCCAAATGAAGAGACTGGATTGGATGCTCTTTGAGGTCCCATCCAATAATACATCAGACTCTGTATTAGCCTGAGTGTGTTGTATGAAGAACCAACTTGGACACCAAAGCTCATCTTCCTCAGTCAGGCTCAGCTCTCTTTCAAACATCTGCCCTTTTTTTCAAACATCATTGCCACATTAAAATGAAAAGATGTCTTTTGAAGAAAATAATGTTGACTTAAGAAAAGTCAGATTCCCATGGAAATCCTATAGACCAGATCCTGGGAGCACCCGCCTTGAAGATTTCAGTATTCCTGGCTGAGGTCAGCTGAGGCTGGCTCAAAGAGCTTCAAACGGCCTTGGAAATCATGCAATTCAACCCTATTTCATGAAGAAAAAGGGGAGGCCTACACAGGTAAAGGTTGCAAAGCTGCCTAGTGAGAGTCAGAACCCAGTCTCCTACTTTTCAGTCTAGCACTATGTGACACCATCTACTACAATAATCCCATGGGTACCTTGGAGCACTATGCTCTGGCAGAGTGGACAAGGTTCCAGTCTCACTGCACTGCTCTAAGTGCCTTGCTTCTTTGTTTTCTAAGTTGTCCTACCTTATTATATACAGGGTGGGGCAAAAGTAGGTTTACAGTTGTTCGCATGGAAAATAATACAAGAGTAAACTGTGCTTCATGTACTCACAACTATAAACCTACTTTTGCCCCATTCTGTATAAGACATAATCTCTCAAGTGAGTAGCAACATAAGATAGGAATCATATAGCCTAGAATCTGAAGAGGGCCTTGAGGTCCCAGGTTTGCACTAGGTAATGCGATCCTGCTGTGCTTTGCGCCTGTACTAAAAGTACTGTCCTCAGCCATCTGCAGTCTGAGGGTCTGGGTATGGAAAAGGGTTTCTAAAGCACTGGCTGCTTTCTGACATCTCTCCTCACTCCCCCCACCCCCAGCCAGCAGAGCCCCCCCCCCCATACCCCACCCCCTAACTTTCTCTGTCTTTTTCCATTACTGTTTACTGTTGCTTTGGAGCCTCCTAAATAGGGCATTGAAAACACTTCCTGCAGCTGAAAGAAGCCCTGAGTAGCTTGTCTTATTCCCAGTGTGCAGCTCAGCAAGGGGTTCGTCCTTCTCTGTCACTGTCTCTTTTGCCCGTTGTAATTCTGTCTGCCTCTCTAAGACTGCCTGTCTCACTCTTTCAGTTTGTGCCTCTCCTCACTCTTGTTCCTTCTGCCTAAATTAGAGTCCCTTGGTTTTTCTGCCTCTTGCATTTGTCTTTGTTGCGCTTTTTGCCATGACACCATCCTCTCTCCCAGTGCCTTCCCTCCACTTCTGGAACTCTTGTAATTGCTCAGGCAGCGAAACAGAAGCTAAGGGCCTCTGCTGGCTTCCCTCTTCATCGTTTGAGGCTGCCAATCAGAAGGGTGGCCGGTCCTGCAGCCTCAAGTGGTCTGCAGCCAAAGGAGGGCGGAGCCCATGGGGCGGGATTGGCCCTAGGTCCTCCTCATAAAGACTAGGGCGAGGGGCGCGAGGCTTTCTGAAGGATCCCTGGAGGGCCTGTTTGGTCCAGCAAACCCCAAAGGCTTAGTCGGGGCTCTGCAGTGTCATGCCCCGGAGCCCCCAGACCGTGCCGAGCTGGGCGCTGTTGCTGCGGCTGCTGGCATTGCTGCGGCCGCCGGGGCTGGGCGAGGCGTGCAGCTGCGCCCCCGCGCACCCCCAGCAGCACGTCTGCCACTCCGCTCTCGGTGAGTCCGGGGGCCCGGGAGGTCCACAGCAGGGGGTGGTTGTGTGTGACTGGAAAGGGCCGAGCTGTAGACTAGAGGTCTGGAGGGAAAGGGAGGAGCTCAAATTCCCCACCAGTTGCCTGTTGTTGGGACTGAGGAGTTGGGCAAGACCAGCACCATAGCAACCTTGCAAACGCAATCAGGAGCGTCCATAGCGACCTCCTCACCCCCGCCTATTGCAATTATCGAGTGGCGTTGAACAACTCACTGGAACTATCCTGTGATTATTGTGAACTACTGGATGGGAGAGGGGGAAGCCAGGGGCCAGGAGGTTGGGTTTTTATTATAAATGTCCCATCTTTTGCCCCTTCTTTTCCCTCTGCCTGGAATGTCCTTCCCCCCATCCTTAAATTCCTGGCAAACTCCTATGTGTTCTTCAAAGTCTTATGTATCTCTTTTTCTCTGAAGGCTTCCTGACTCCTTGATGCTACAACACAGCACCTCTTACATATTTGTGCTCCTACTGTGCTGTGCTGTTGTTCTTTTCTAAGTGTGCTCTCCACTAGACCAAGTTCTGCAGGATGTCTTAATCATGTTTATGGACTTAGTACCTTGTGTTAGGCCAGGCACAGAGGACGAGCTTCCTAAACTGTTTTTGATTAGTGCCCAAATGGCAAAAGGTGAACTACCTCTGAACAGGGTCAGATAATTTATTAATTCAATAAACATTTACTAATAGCAATGCCGGGCAGGCTCTGTTTTAGACCTTGGGCTACATCAGTAGATGGCCACACTGACCACCCTCAAAGGGCTCCTCCTCCCCCCTCTTTCCTGAGGCCCACTTCCACCCCCAGCCCTCTGGGCTATGGAGAACTAAATTCTCAAAACTAGCAGGTAAAGTGCAGAGACTGCAGGATCTAACAGGCCTGACTGCACAGGAGGAGTTTCCAGGTCCCCACTTTCTATATCATCTTCCTCACAACCCAGAATTACCCCACAGAATTCTCCAGGGGCCCCAGGTCACCCAGATCCCAGATGGATTGCTCCCACAGGTTGCTGAAGGTTCCCCCTTTTCACTTCCTATGCAGTGATCCGGGCCAAAATCTCCAGTGAGAAGGTAGTTCCTGCCAGTGCAGACCCTGCTGACACTAAAAAAATGATCCGGTATGAAATCAAACAGATAAAGGTACATGGGGACAGGACAGGGCTTCTACCCCTTGGGCTCTTGGGAGGAGTGGGGTCTCTGTTCTGCGAAGGGGGGCGCTGAGAGGTCAGACAACCTGGCTCAGTGATCCTGGGTATAGATGCTGAAGTGGAAGTGGATGACAAGCAGGGCCCACAGAATTTGAGTGACAGTGCAGGACAGGCCCTCAGAGTCCCTTTAGTCCTCTTGCTGCCTGTGCATGGGTCTGCTGGAGGTACCTCCCCTCTCACTGGAATAACCCCAGGTTCAGATTTTTCTAAAAGAGAGAAATGATCCAGTTGAGCCATCTGTGTGCATAAAATCCTGAACTAGATGTTGGCTTAATTTTTTTTAGACTGAGGAACGAGAAGTTTTTCCTGTTAAGATACACAGTTCACTCACTGACCCAATACTGCTATTTTGTAATTGCTTTTCAGATGTTTAAAGGGTTTGAGAAAGTCAAGGATGTTCAGTATATCTATACACCCTTTGATTCCTCCCTCTGTGGTGTGAAACTAGAAGCAAACAGCCAGAAGCAGTATCTCTTGACTGGTAAGTTAAAGAGCAGCAAGTGGCCCCAGTAGTCTCTGTCCTAAGGACAGCATCCAAGGAAGAGCCATGGCTGTCCTTGACTCATTCTGAGCACGTGACATATTCTGAGCATAAAACAGAGCTGCGTTACTAAGAGGCAACCTCTGAGTTGGGAGGGGCCCAATAATCTCCCCTTTCAATGCAAGAGTCCTCATTACAGTGATCTTGGCCACTGCTTCACTGTTTTAAGGATGGGTTGCTCTCCCAGCCTACAGAAGCTGGTTCCATTAAGGCTTTATTTATTTATTTACTTATATATTGGTGGTGGGGGGTGGATGGAGAAAGACAGGGAGAGAAACATCAACGTGCAAGAGATACATTGATAGGTTGTCTCTGACACACTTCCAACCAGGACCTGGCCTGCAATACAGGCAGGTGCCCTGACTGGGAATCGAATGGGCGACTTTTCAGTTTGCAGACCAGCACTCAGTCCACTGAGCCACACCAGCCAGGCTCGAACAGTTTTAATTGGCATGAGGATTTTGGTAATTTAAGCCCAAATCAGGCCCTCTAAAACTGCCCCTTGTGGATTCAGCTCTGCCCTCTGCTCTATAATGATCCCTCAGAGGCCTGAGGATGACAGATGATAGCACTTTAGCTCCAGGTCTGTGGGCCATGGTTCTCAGCCCCTCCTATTCTGGCTACCTTCTCCAATGGCATATAGCCTGTCCCTGTCCCTTCCCTAGCACAGGACAATAAACTGAACACAACACTACAGGAGAGGTCTTAGTTTCACAGAATAAAGGAGTATTGCATGTGTGCAACCCCGCCTCCCCGAACACACACATTACAGTTCCTGTAGTCTATGATGGCATTAGCTTTAGACAGCCACATTGGGTCACATTTGACTCATGGTGCGCCTGTGTGGCTAACTCATCCCCCAGGCCGTGTTCTGGGGGTACAGAAAAACACAAGCCCTAATAGGAGCCTTGAATCTAACATGGTTCTGTCTCCATGAACTTGGTAAGTCTCCTCCATGCTGAAGTGGTTGGGATATAACAATTAAAGAACCACATAAAACTATGACTCCATAAGTGAATGACTTTAATACTATATTATTTTGTAATTCAGGAAGAAGGTATCTGTATGGTTATAAACAGTCAGGGAAGCTTCAGTGAACAAGTGGGATCTAAATTAAACCTAAAGGATGAAAAATACTTAGAAAGGTAAGGAGAACAGGAGGAGGAATTCCACTATCTGTCCGTGCACTCAGCAATGAATGATCACATACTAGCTGCCAGGCCTTGAATAAGAGAATGGAGACTCAGTAACAAGTTATAGTACTCAAAGAGCTCACAGTCTAGACCTGGCTCTTGAGCCAGGTAGAGGCTCTCAGCTCTAAGAATGTGGAACTACTGATCTAGGAGCCTCTGAATGGGAAAGGCAAAGGCAGAGCATGCCGCTGAGCCCTCAACATCCCAGGACCAGCAGATGAAGCTACTTCCTTCCTAAGTACCTACGCTATGTGTGCCTTGCCCTCTGCTAGGCACTGTGGTGCATTAGGGAAAGTAGGAGGCATGCTCTGTGCCCTCAAGGAGGCCAAGTCTAATCAAGGGCGAAGAAAACAAAACACAGGTCTATTGAAAAGTCATCACTGGCACCCATTCTGTTCAAGAGAGGGCACAAGCTCTTTTGCCTAATGTTGAATGCCCTTTGTGACCATAACACTGCTGACTTCTCCAGCTTTGTCTCTTGTCACTTTTCACTGACACTTGCCAGCCCCTCATTTTCCCCAGAGCTGAACTAAACTACTTGAAGTTATAGAAGGTATTGTCTGGGCTGTGCCCCTTCACCTTTACACAGGATAGCCCCAATGTCCAGAAGCCTTTCCCCCAACTTGCCTGACAGGTAAACTCCTACCCATCCTTTCAAGGCCCAACAGGAGCATCATCTCCTCTTAGACACCTTCCTTGCCCTCACCCCTTCCACAGACAGAGATAATTATATTTACCTTTGTTCTTATACTGCATCTTGTATATAATCACACAACAGTGTAATTTTTGCCTACTTATCTGTCTGACCTACTTGTTTTTAAGCCCCTTGAGGACAAAGATCCTGTCACATTTACTTCTGTATTCCTGGTACCAGGTCTAGTAATTGCTCACTAAGTAAATGCTTGAGTGACTAAAGTTCTAAGAGATGTGGGCCAGCATGGTCAGGGATGACTTTGAGGATGAGGTGGTACTGAAAAGGGTCTTTGGAAAATAGGAAAGAGTTTGATAAGAAGGGGAACATTTGTATGGAGAAGAGGAAAGACTTACCAAGATAGGCATCAATGGGGCAAAAGACTGGCCTATGTACATACTGGGAAGAGTTGGAAAGGGGAAGGGACCTATTATTTATTTAGCATCTTCTATGGGCCCACTACTGTGCTGGGAGTTTTACAAATATTCTCTCATTTAATTCTGACAATACCTTATTATTCTCATCTTCCAGTTGAGAAGTTACATGGCTTTGTTAAGGTCACACAGCTAGTAAATGATAGAAGAGAGTTCCACCAAGAGTCTCACTTTAAAGCCCATGTTCTCCCTGTACCATGCTTAAGGAAAAGTCCTTGTTCCATAACTCTCTTTTGTACAAATATAATATTTGATATAAAGATTATAGAGGTTTTTCTGGTCCCTTCATTGAGCTCCATGTCACCACTGCCACCAAAAAACAAAAGAACCATGAAAGAGGCTGCAATTCTGGGCCTTTCAAGGACCCAGCCTTCTGGAGCTTCACAGATTCCTCATGCTAGGTTCTTCTCCATCTCCCTTTGAAGGTCAGGTCCTCAATGATGGAAAAGTCTTCATCCATCTTTGCAACTACATTGAGCCCTGGGAGAACCTGTCCTTCTTGCAAAGAGAAAGTCTGAATCATCACTATCATCTGAATTGTGGCTGCCAAGTAAGAAAATATCCATTTCTAAGGTCTTTTGTGGGTGGGAAAGAGTCTTGAGCCTTGCAGCCTCACCTGGCATGTACTCCTTCCTTCATGCATGCATTTATTCACTTAATATAGTATACTTGAGATCTGCCATGGATCAGACACTATATGAAGTTGGAGACAGGAAAGCAATATGGTCCATAGTCCCTGATCTCAAACTACTTGCATTTTGGAGGGGAAGGTGGCCATCATATAAGGCAAACTGAAATGGCGTAGCCATCTTTATACAGAGTCTACTCTTTGCCAGCCCCTCTAATGGTCAATTTATTTAAAATATTTTAATGTACTCTTTATAAAAAAACGTATGAAGAATTAAGATTTCCATTTTAAGGTGAAGAAATTAATGCTCTATGAAGTAAAGTAGTTTGCTCAAGGTCAGTGGTAGAGTAAGGACCCTCAGGTTGGTCTGACTTCAAGACATGCCATTAGAGAGGCAATACTGTATGTGGGGAGTACAGGGGAAGGAGAATTCAGGGAATTTTGGAAACTAGGAAAGGCTTTATAAAGCAGGGGCATTTGGGCTAGGCTGTAAGGCTATGTAAAAGTCTGAAAGGAAATAAGAAAAAGACACCCTACTCACTTTGATGTTGTGTCACTATGACTCTAGATCACCACCTGCTACACAGTGCCCTGCATCATTGCGGCCCCCAATGAGTGCCTCTGGACAGACTGGCTGTTGGAACGAAAACTGTATGGGTACCAGGCCCAGCATTATGTCTGCATGAAGCACGTTGATGGCACCTGCAGCTGGTATGAGGGACGCCTGCCCCTCAGGAAGGAGTTAATTGACATCGTCCAGCCCTAATAGGGAACAGAGACCACTACATCCCTTCAGGAGTCCTGAAGACCAAGCCCGTTTTCCTTCCCTGCAGAGCTCTGGCTATCACCACCTGCCTCATTGCAGCCAGCCAATGGGAAGTACCAAGTGAGCAGTCTGGCTAGGATTAGAGCAGGACTGCGGCATATTCAGTTTGTATATAATCTGGACCCCAGCCCAGAACCTGTCAAAGGCCAGGGAAAGTAGCACGACTTTTCTATCCTACCCTCAGCCCTTCTTCCCTGCCTCCCAAACTCTTTTAGTCTAGCTAGTACCTGTTACTGAAAGTTTTAATTCTGGCTTAGGATCAAAATAGTTTTGGCCAGAACTATTCCATTTTCTCTGTAGCAAAACGTGTTTTCTCTTACCTTAATTGATCTGATAGGGAAGAAATGGTGAATGTTATGTATATGAGATGGTGTAGCCTTCTGATGTACAATACCAGAAAACAGGTTGACAGTATCACAAACAGTCTGCTTTGGAAGAATGAAAAGAACAATATACTATGGCTGTATATTCTCTACTCCAATCTCAACTCATCCTGATCCTCTCATACACTTCCATCTAGGGGAGTGACTTGCAGGGGCATAGAGTCACTCAATATGAGACCTACAATGGCCTAAACTCCCTCCACATGCTGTAATCTCCTCTATACCATTCCTGGCAGAAGGTCTGGCCCACTTAGCACACCTCTTCAGATAAGAATAGACTTAGGTATTGTCTCTGCAGGTTAACTGTCCTTAATGCCTCCAACTGAGGTCTGCAAGGCATCTTTACTGTTTCGTTTAGAAAGTCCTTCTCTACCAATATCTTCATTCCCTCTTGAACACTTTCTTTTTAGGCAAAAAAAAAAAAATCATTTCTCTTTTACAGTTAAAATTCCCTTGTAGTTGACACCTCAGAGAGACCTTAAGAGGTAGTTTTTTGAGAGCAAATTTCAGGATAGAGGATAAGAAAGGAATAACACAGGAGACCTTAGGGGAAAATGATGGTAGATGAAGAATATATTTTGCAATTTTTTCTTTCCTTCCTTTATTTTTTTTAGTGATCAGTTCTGCTAGATATTATAGCAGGAAAAATCCAGCTTTGCTCCCCACCCTCCCTTTAGCTCAGTCCCCTTACCATTGTGTCTTGGATTCCCTGAGAAATCCAAGCACAGACTCCTTACGGTTCCTCAGCCTCTACAAGACTTCTTGGCTTGTCATTGAGATCAATGATGTTGGTCTCAAGGATTTATTAAGGACAAGCACTAAAGTTCCAGAGCCTCTCCCTGTGGAAGCTCTGAAAAGATGAAGGAGATAGTTCTTTTCAAGGCCCAAGGTTGTGGTTATTAATCTTCTATGTATTATTTGCTGATAAGCAGGGCCATGCACAATATGCCAGAATAAGGCTCTTGATTCACAGAAATGGTGCAAATGAAGATCCTTTTTGGAGAAGGAAGTGAGTGGCAAACAAACATAATGTCCATCCCAGACTACACTTGGAATGCTATGGCAGAGAGTTTCCATTGGTGAGTTAAGCACTATCACCAACTGACCGGGCAGGCCTGGGGCAGGGGATGTGGAGACAGAAGGGAAGAAGGGAGAGTGACGTCGAGGTCTCCATGGAGGAAAAACCATAGCAATAGCCTCCATGCCAACCAACCATGCCATCTCTCTGCTCCTTCTGATATCCTTGGATGGCCTCAGAGGAGGCATAATGTTAATCCAGTCTTCTCACAATCTTGACAAAAGCCAAGGGAATGGAAGGCCCTGATAATAATAACAGGAATAACACCTGGCATCTGAGGGGTGCTTCACACTTTTCCAGGGAGCAGGGGTAAACCAGCTTCCTTCCTCTAGTGCTACTGGGTTACTTCACAGTCTTAACCACAGATTTTTGGAATGGTTAGAAGGAAAAGTTGCCCTCTATTTTTCAAAGAAAGGAAAGCTAGAACATTTTCAAAAACTCAGGTCCTATTATCTATATAAGGGATGTTGGAACATGAGTCAGTGGGGAAGAGGGTCTGGAGTAGTAAAAGCTCAGAACTGGGTTTATAGGAAACTAGAGTCTTCTGTTTCTTGTTCTGCCTCTAACTTGCTAGGTATCCTTTGGCAAATAATTTCTCTTCTCCAGGCCTCATTTTCCTCATATATAAATTATTTTCCTCATATATATATATTATTTTAAAAACAAATCTCACTTAAATTTTGCACCAAATTTGGTAACCTGGTAAGGAATAATTATGCCCATTTGACTTTCCAGTTGGGAAAGTGACAAGTGAGTAAATGTAACTAGTACACTGACATGTGGCAGAGTCAGGGCAGTAGGATCTTTGATTACTGCTTCATAGGTTTGCTCCCTTTTCAGCTTGATAAAATGCCTTGTTTCTGCTCTTCCCTATTCTGTCTCCAGATTTTGGAAACAAGGGGCTATCAGCTAAAATCGAGCCACTCTGGCCACAGAAAACAGATCTGCAGTTCAACAACAAAGTCTTTCTGGGGCGTAGATACTGAAGCCCTCTTCAGATCCCCAAAGTGTGACTAAGCCCAGAGTGGAAATAGCAAAGAGACTGAAGTCCCTCCCCACTCCATCATCACCTACCATTTCTTTGTGGTTGGGATAGTATGTCTGCTCAATGAGTGGAAACTTTTCTCCTCCCAGTGTCTTGTAGATGGCCACCAGCTGGGCAAACTGTAAAGAGAAGCAAACATTTCAGCTTATCTAGACAACTTATAGAACAGACAAAACAAGAGTCTATTTAAAAATATTTATTGAGCATTTGGTCTGTTGAGGGTTTTGAGCAAAGTGCTCTTGAGTATATAAGAGAGGCATACAATTCCTATTCTCAAGGAATGTATTCTTTAACTGGGAAAAGGAGTGAGCTAACAGTCATTCAGTACCTACTCAGTTTTAATGATATTTTATTTAATCCTCATATTAAATTGAGAAACTACGTACTTTATCATCTTCGTTTTACATATGAGACTCAAAGAGGGTACAAAAGTTGCCTAAAGTCAGAGAGCTGCAAAGCAGTGAAGCTGAAATTAAAATTTGAGTCTTTAATTCTAAACACCTGCACCTCTAGAAATGGCAAATGATGAACTGAAGCTAGATAGGTAACATAGGCCAAGTCTTGGAAATTCAAATGCCAGGCATTTGAATGGTAGCTTTTCCCTATAGGCAGTATGAAGTCACCAGAATTTGAGCAGGGGGGTCATGAATGAAGCTGTTCTTCAGGAAGATATTGATAGTCATGTAGATGAGAGACAGACAGACCCAGTCTTTCTGGGACTTACTACTTATCTAAGCACTGAACTCAGGTGGATCCTTCACCTATGAGAAACCAGAACAGCTCCATGAGGAAAAAGTGAAGTACACATTCTTACAGTATCAGGGTTGAAAGGCCTTTGGCAACCCTGCCCCCAACTTTGTAAGTGAAGCAACTGAGGTCCAGACAGGTCACTTACCAAAGGTTACACAGTAGTTGAACCAGATTCAGAGCCAGGCCCTTTATTCCCAATTCATATTTATTTTTATTCCTTCAAGTAGCTGCCTTGCAGGTTCTGCAGAAGCCATGTCCTTCCCACAGGAAACAGACTCAGTTCATTCACACACACCCCCCACACCCATCCCTAATGCACTGGGAGTAGAGGTAAACCAGCTTCCTTCCTCTAGTGCTACTGGGTTACTTCACAGTCTTAACCACAGATTTTTGGAATGGTTAGAAGGAAAAGTTGCCTTCTATTTTTCAAAGAAAGGAAAGCTAGAACATTTTCAAAAACTCAGGTCCTATTATCTATATAAGGAATGTTGGAACATGAGTCAGTGGGGAAGAGGGTCTGGAGTAGTAAAAGCTCAGAACTGGGTTTATAGGAAACTAGAGTCTTCTGTTTCTTGTTCTGCCTCTAACTTGCTAGGTATCCTTTGGCAAATAATTTCTCTTCTCCAGGCCTCATTTTCCTCATATATAAAATGAGAGACTGGATCAGTTCCTCAAACTTTTTACCACAAACATCATCTCTTATTATATCTCCTTCTAAACTCCATCATCAAACTATAGTTTCAGTGATCATCTGCTGTGGTTCTTTTGTGGGCAAACATAAACTTTTTTATTGTTTTTGAAATGCTGGAAAACACTGAAATTTCTGGATCACTTCCCTTAGTAACACAGAGTTGGTGACTCTAGATCTCTAGTTGCCTCCACCAGGACTGAAAGTATGATTCATGGACTCTCAAGCCCCTAAGATTTTATTACTTAAGGAGACTTTAGAGAGCTCTGGACCAAACATCTCACTCTACAAATGAGGAGACTGAGGGTAGAGAAGCAAAGGAAAGCCTAGCTCCCAGACCGTGCCCGGAATCAGGGCTGTCGGGTCTCTTCTTGTCTGGTGCATTCTTTGTTGTTCCCTGCTGTCCTCACCATTTTATGGTTCTTCAACTTGCTTTGACTATCAAGACCAACCACTCATACCTTTCCTGCCTTCTCAGATTCTCTCCACCACCTCATCTGATCTTTAAGTCCTGCGTGTCCACCTCAGCCTGGCTGGACTCCTGCTCTGCCTGAGCTTCCAAGGCTCTTCAGCATCCCCAGCCAGCTCTGCTTAACAACCTCTGTCCTGCTGTAGCCCACGCCCTGGCATGGTATCAAGGCATGTGAGTCTCTATCTTCCCAAGACGTGGGAGACTTACACAGGCACCACATTGATGCCAGGAAGGCCAACGGCAAACCCCCAGAGTCCTGGAACAGCCAAGACTAAAACAGTAGCCAGTTCTCAGGCACTAGTTGGGTCACTAGGAGCTCACCCTATCCTCCTCAACCTTACCTCCAAGTCCCTGTCTGCTCAAGGTACTGGGCTTGGCATCTAATCCCTGCCTCCTTGGAAACTTAGATTAAATCACAAGTACAGTCACCAATTAAACAAATGTAATATCTGATAAGGGTTATTTCCTCTATACATGGACAAAAGAATAGATTTGGGAGCTGGGGGTGGTGGTATTGGCAACAAATAGGAAGATAATGTTCCTTATAACCACTTATCCAATGAATCAGTAAAGACTCTTGGAAGAAATGGGATTTCAAGATCAGCCTGAATTTAATAATTTATCCTATTCCCCCTGGAAATAAAATATTTAATTCAATCCTAGTGCATCTGTCTCTAGAAAAACCTAGAAAGAGTGACAGGGATTTCAGATACATTTGCAGCAGTATGGTAAGGAGATGTTCTTACTTTCTCTGGAATGCTCCTTTCATTGACAGGTCCATTTCTCCTTCCAAAATCCCAGTGTGCCCTCCTTGACCAGTTTATGAGATACAGATGTGCTCAGAAACACATAAGGTAAAGCATTTTCCAACCAACTGAGGCCTTTCCTCACACCGAGCGTACCCACAACAAAGAACTTTAGAGAATATGAACCAAAGTCATCATCTCAGAGGGACCCCTCCCCTCACAGTCACCAAATTTGCCCACTCCCATTAATAGGCAGGGA